CTTGACGTCCACAATTCCTTAGTCGGTATCCGTTGACTATAGTTTCGACTACTACGTAGTCATTATCAAAAACAGAACGTTAAAATATTATATTCGTTGAATGTCGTCAAATTTTAAATACATCGAACACACAAACAAACATAACACGAACACGGTAGACATTTAACATAATTGGCCGGCCGGCACACGTCACTGAACTGGTCGACGACGATGACTGACTATTTACCCCACTCCATTCCGTTTATCAGCTGTGCCTCCAGGACTCGTGTTGCCAACATAATTGTTACCAAAGTGATCTGAGACTGTGTTGAATAGTTTGTTTGAACCATAATAAAGTTTTTCATTGAGCATGTTGTACGGGTCGGATTTAGTGGCTTTGTATATTTCGAACTCTTCGAGTGTGTCTAGCATGAAGCCTTTCTTACAAACATGTAGAATTTCTGCATTATCATTAAAACTACTAACAGTATGGTTTGAATTTAATAAATGTTCAGCAAACTTGGATTTTTGTTCTGTTTGTTTTGGTTTAGGTAAATGTTCAGAAAAACGTTTCCTAAATGATCTGCCGGTCTGACCTATGTAATAGTTTGGACAGTCAGAACATTTAATTTTATAAGTACCAGTAGCTAATTCCTTAGGTTTACTGTTGTTCGGCAACCTTTTATTTAGTTTCGCCCCAAGTTTGTTAGACGTTCTATAGGCCAGAATTAAGCCGTGAGGGTTCAATTCTTTCTTTAGTGTGTATTGTAGGCTATTGCTGTATTCCACAGAGACAAAACGTTTATTAATTGTTGTAGAATTACTAGGAGAGGGTTTTCGGTTTTGTTTATTAATTATCCTATCAACGATGGAACTTCTATAACCATTTGCAACAGCAATATATTTGATTATATGTACTTCTTTTAGGTAATCCTCGTCGGTCAGTGGCATAGATATTAGACGATGAATCATACTATTGTAAGCAGCCATTTTGTGGGTTTCAGGGTGGTATGAGGTATAGTGGATGGTATGGTCGGTTGCTGTAGGCTTTCTGTAAATATTGTAGTGGAGTTTGCCAGAGTTTTTGGTAATAGTTGTATCTAAAAAATTAATACTATTGTTCTCTTCAATTTCCAGAGTAAATTTGAGGTTTTTTGTTATGTTGTTCAAATAATTTTTAAGGAGTTCTAACTATCTTTTGTTTCCAGCGAAGATTAAAAAAGTGTCGTCAACACATCGTAAGTAGGCTTTTATCTTCGGGGCATACTTGTTCGTATCAGAAATAATGTGGGTGTTCTCGATGTGGTTCAAATAAACCTCTGATAATATGCTTGACAAAGGTGATCCCATAGCTAAGCCATTAGTTTGTTTGTAGTATTTGCCGTCAAAATGGAAATAGTTCTGTTCTAAGACCAGTTGTAGTAGGGAGATTAATTCATTAATTTGATCAGATGTTAAGTTAGGATTCAGTGACAGATTTTCTTTAATTACATTCAATGTCGTATTTACAGGCACATTAGTAAACAAATTAACGATGTCGAAAGATGCCATCATCATATGGTTGTCAATTTGGAGTTCTTTGGTATTTTCCACAAATTCAATGCTTATTTTAATACTATGGGTATTATTTACAACTAAATGCTGTCTCAATAATTTATCTAGTTTTTTAGCCAATTTATAAGAGGGAGCTGGCATAAAATTGACTAGTGGTCTAATTGGCATTCCTTCTTTGTGAACTTTTGGGAGTCCCTTGAGTGAGGGGTTATGAGGGTTCATCATTTTCAACGAATTTGCCTCATTTTTGGTTAAAATATGCTGACACTTATTCAGCCTGTTTTTTAATAAATTGTGAAATTTCATTGTTGGGTCAGGATCGATTTGTTCGATATTATTTTCAGAAATAAAAGTATTTACTTTTTCTTTGTAATCAGTCGATTTTAAAACCACTAGGGACTGACCTTTGTCGGCTTTTGTGATAAGGCAGTCGTTACTAGACAGCTTGTCATTTATGTCATTTATGATGTTGCTTTCTTTCTCATGCAAATGGCTAAACTTATAATTAGGTTTATGTACAAGATTACTCTTTATTTTCCTATTTACATTATGTCTAATAACAGATCTTTCTTCATGGTTAACGACACATTTTATAGCGGTTTCGGCATTGATAATTTCGGAGAAAACATTGTTTTTACCAAGTTTAGATAGATTGTACTTGGACTCTTTGTTAAGCAAGTTAATTTCATTTTGATTAAAACTGATATCAGTTTGGTTGACAACTCTAGGGAAGAATTTATGAGTGGTTTCAAAGTTTTCTGTAGGATCCTGTTGTTTAAGGAGTAAGCTTAGTTTTTTATCTTGTGTTTTCTTTTTAGCGAATGTCTTCTTGTTGATCTGACTTTCTATAATGCCGAATACTTTATCAATTTCTGATGGGTGTAAACAATTTGCTAATTTTAACTCTGGCAAACTCCACTACAATATTTACAGAAAGCCTACAGCAACCGACCATACCATCCACTATACCTCATACCACCCTGAAACCCACAAAATGGCTGCTTACAATAGTATGATTCATCGTCTAATATCTATGCCACTGACCGACGAGGATTACCTAAAAGAAGTACATATAATCAAATATATTGCTGTTGCAAATGGTTATAGAAGTTCCATCGTTGATAGGATAATTAATAAACAAAACCGAAAACCCTCTCCTAGTAATTCTACAACAATTAATAAACGTTTTGTCTCTGTGGAATACAGCAATAGCCTACAATACACACTAAAGAAAGAATTGAACCCTCACGGCTTAACTCTGGCCTATAGAACGTCTAACAAACTTGGGGCGAAACTAAATAAAAGGTTGCCGAACAACAGTAAACCTAAGGAATTAGCTACTGGTACTTATAAAATTAAATGTTCTGACTGTCCAAACTATTACATAGGTCAGACCGGCAGATCATTCAAGAAACGTTTTTCTGAACATTTACCTAAACCAAAACAAACAGAACAAAAATCCAAGTTTGCTGAACATTTATTAAATTCAAACCATACTGTTAGTAGTTTTAATGATAATGCAGAAATTCTACATGTTTGTAAGAAAGGCTTCATGCTAGACACCCTCGAAGAGTTCGAAATATACAAAGCCACTAAATCCGACCCGTACAACATGCTCAATGAAAAACTTAATTATGGTTCAAACAAACTATTCAACACAGTCTTAGATCACTTTGGTAACAATTATGTTGGCAACACGAGTCCTGGAGGCACAGCTGATAAACGGAATGGAGTGGGGTAAATAGTCAGTCATCGTCGTCGACCAGTTCAGTGACGTGTGCCGGCCGGCCAATTATGTTAAATGTCTACCGTGTTCGTGTTATGTTTGTTTGTGTGTTCGATGTATTTAAAATTTGACGACATTCAACGAATGTAATATTTTAACGTTCCGTTTTTGATAATGACTACGTAGTAGTCGAAACTATAGTCAACGGATACCGACTAAGGAATTGTGGACGTCAAGGTACGTAACCTGTTATAAAAAGTTTTAAGGTTTCCCAACAGGGTGCAGCACTATTATTATTTTGTTTGTGCATATATGACAACAGCTAATTTGAACTAAGCAGCAACAAAAAGCTGTGATACACAATGAGAACTGTCAAAGTAGGATTGTTTACAGTTAGGTTTGAGTTTTTAATTTAATGAATAATTTGTGATATTGTGGAACGTTTGATAATTTATTTTTTTCTATTGTTTAGGTGCAATGGTAGAACATTATGGCAATGGTAGATGTGTTGTACTATATCATACCGTAAATTTATGAATCAAATTTTATCAAACTGTGTCCTCCCCCCATTGCAAACGCAAAGCTTGAGTATAACTGCAATGAGCATTTTATACTTATATGCCAACCCCGTACGAAGGACGGGTGCTCTGCTAGTATGAAATATTCTTCAGTTGAATCCATTTGATTTCCTTTGTTTAAAACTTTAAAAATTTTCATGTTGTTTTTTAAATTAGTGTAATTGTGGTTGGTCGATAAAAAGTGTTCAGCAAAGTTTGATTTCATGGATGTTCTGTTGTTACTCTTAAGAGCTTGAATGTGCTCTTTGAATCTAGATTTAAAAGAACGTCTTGTCACATTAATTATATTATATTAATTATAATTATAACAACAGTTAAGTATTTAATGTACTTGAAGTTTGAAAATGGACTTTGTCCAAAACATATCACTTCTTAAAAAAATATAATATCAGGGTGCTCAGTTGTACTTATTTACTACAATAATTTAATATATATATATATACATTTATATATATACATATATATACATTTATATATATATAAATATACATATATATACGTCCGTGAACGCTATAACTTGAGTAATTTTTCTCCGATTTTGATGAAATTTGGTTTGAAGGTGTAAGGCAGGATAAACTTGAATGAGTTCGCGAACTAGCATGATCGGACTATGGGAACAGGGGTTTACGGGGGTTTTTTAGGGTAAAAAAATGTTTGGGCTATTTCTCACTTTTTATCCTCAAAACACAAAATTTCCCAATTTATCTCTAGACCATTTTAAAGAGCTTAAAAACAAATAATTGTATATACCAAAGTGTTTATGTATGGTTATTGGTTAAAGAGAAAATTTAAAAAATTGCAAATTTAAAATTCCTATGTTATTCTTATGGAGAATAATGTAAAATGTTGTAGTTTGCTTGTTTATGGAAATATTTTGATCAAGCTTGGTAAATTGATTTATTTTATAGTAAGCTACTAATATTTTACTAAAAACCACACTTTATTAGCCTCCCTGTAGCAGCAAACCTATGTACCTGTTCAATTCTGGCAAATGTAAATTCGCTTAGTCTGCAGGTTTGCTGCGGAAGGGGTATTATTTGCAAATTTAGCATCGGTTTATTTTTATTAGTTGCATTACTAATTGGTTGTTACTGAATCTATCTAGTAGTAGGGTGTAATAATTTATATTTGTTGTATTGTATTCTGTCAATATATGATTGTAGGTGATCATCGTCAGTATTAGACCACATACCAGGCTGTTACTAACTCACTCAGTCAAAGCTAGGCCTGCCTCTCTGCCACTGTTGTCTTGGCAGTTTGTTATAATACAAGTGGCTGACACCCAGAAGATCATGGATCCCGTTCTGGCCTTTGCTAGGGATACCACAATTTACTTTTACCAGGTGAGATGAAAAAATCTGTTATTGTAGAGGAAATTTGATGAATAGAAATACATGCAAAACAGTTTGACTTTTCATTTATCAACCAATTAAATTTGGGGTGCCACAAGGTTCAATTTTGGGGCCTTTGCTTTTTTGTGTTACCTTAAGGGCATGGAAGATACTTTAACCTACAAGCAAAATTATAAATTATGTCTTTACGCTGATGATTCTAATTTGATTGTATCATCTAACTCGCCAGAAGAAACTGAAATTCTTACATATGTAGAATTAGAGAATATTGGAAACTATTTCTACAATCATAACTTATTATTAAATTCACAAAAAACTAAATTTATAAATATTTCAGAACAGCACAGAACAGAATTACAAAAGAGCCAAGAATAACTTACAACTCAAATAACATTCAAAAGGAAAATAAAATCAATTTTCTGGCATTAACAATAGATGAAAATTTGAATTGGGATAAACACACACAGAAAGTTTTAACCAACACTAACTCTGGAATTTTCGCATTATCAAAAATGTCCTTTTATTGTAATTTGAAAACCATAAAAAGTATATATTTTGCACACATTCATTCCCATATTTCATTCGGTTTAGCATTATATGGGTCAACAAAAATATTAAATATGGATAGTATTCTGAAGCGACAAAAAGAAGCTATCAGAATTATGCTTAAGCTTAAACGAGATGATTTGGCAAAAGAATATTTTAAGAAATTACAATTTTTTACAGTTTATGGGCAATATATTTGTAAAACAATTCTTATCGCAAAAAAAAAAAAAAATAAATAAAAATAGCCTAAATAAGCAATATTGAACACATATTTTTAAAATACCCCCCCCCCCCCCGGCCCCCCGGAAAGGCCCTAGCTGACACCCCCCCCCCCCAGGGCACGCCACTGTTTGTAGTTAAAGAAACTGTTTGAATAGTCTGCCTCAGTAATAAAATCCAGCCATGTTCAGCTATACAATTTTTGATGGCAAAAACTATAAAACAATTTGAGTTTATGGACAGATTTGTGAATGAAATAACATTATTACTTAAGATGGAGTGCTTCAATGGCCCCTTAGCAATACCTGTAATCTTGCGAATTGCAAGAATGCTTGTACTAAAATAAGTCTTCATATTGTAAACTGGTTGGTTAAATAAACTAATTGAATTGAATTGACACTTCAGCTGAACCTTGGCTACTATGTACTTATTTAGAGTGGGTGTTTATTGTATAGGTGAGTGTTGAGCCCAGTGGACGCATAGTATGTATGACACTTCAGCTTCAGGAACTGAACCTTGGCTACCCTCTACTGTCCTAACATTGGCACACCTTGGTATACACTATGTATTTATTTAGAGTGGGTGTTTATTGTATAGGTGAGTGTTGAGCCCAGTGGACGCATAGTATGTATGACACTTCAGCTTCAGGAACTGAACCTTGGCTACCCTCTACTGTCCTAACATTGGCACACCTTGGTATACACTTTGTACTTATTTAGAGTGGGTGTTTGTTGTATATGTGAGTGTTGAGCCCAGTGTTCGCATAGTATGTATGACACTTCAGCTACTGAACCTTGGCTATTCTCTACTGTCCTGTCATTGGCACACCTTGGTTTACACTATGTATTTATTTAGAGTGGGTGTTTGTTGTATAGGTGAGTGTTGAGCCCAGTGTTCGCATAGTATGTATGACACTTCAGCTACTGAACCTTGGCTATTCTCTACTGTCCTGTCATTGGCACACCTTGGTATACACTTTGTACTTATTTAGAGTGGGTGTTTGTTGTATAGGTGAGTGTTGAGCCCAGTGTTCGCATAGTATGTATGACACTTCAGCTACTGAACCTTGGCTATTCTCTACTGTCCTGTCATTGGCACACCTTGGTTTACACTATGTATTTATTTAGAGTGGGTGTTTGTTGTATATGTGAGTGTTGAGCCCAGTGTTCGCATAGTATGTATGACACTTCAGCTACTGAACCTTGGCTATTCTCTACTGTCCTGTCATTGGCACACCTTGGTATACACTATGTATTTATTTAGAGTGGGTGTTTGTTGTATAGGTGAGTGTTGAGCCCAGTGGACGCATAGTATGTACTAGTGGCTTTTAGGGGCAATAGCCCCTATATATGTATAAATATTTTGTCTCATGGGTTGAACCTTGAACCATTGGGTTGATCTCCATTTGTCAACTCGATCGTTTAACATTTTTGTATACAATATGTATAATAATTATTACATGCCTGCATAATGCATTTTGTTATCTGCTCTGTTTAAAATAACAGTTCCAAAAGACTGTTCATCCGGTATTATAACAAACTGTCTAATCATTAATACAACTAATGATCATTTTCAATTATAATCTTCATGACTATTAATTAAATATATATATAAATCTCTTTGAATATAGACAAATTCACTTAGATTAAACACATAGAGATAACGTCTTCCTCCAGATTGTAAAATGCTAATTACAATGACAGAAAAATATTGTATTTTGTATTTAGTTTATAACAAAATCTCTCTGAAAACAACATTTTTGTTGTATGGTATCCATTTTAATTGATTCCTTCGTCTTTATTTGATTCTAGTACTATTTTGACATCATCTGGCCGCCTTACCTGGTTAACATAAAGTTGACCATGGGTAAACACTATTTTTTTCTTCAAATAAATGCCAACTTTTGTTCGGGTTCGGCCTCGTCCTTTGCTTTAATAATAAGTAATATTGAAAGCTAATCGCAATGGGAATTGAATACTTGTAAACTTAAACGGCATATCAGGATCTATAGATATTAGTTTTATTTTCGGCATGGAAAAATAAGTCCCCTTTGCCTACTCCAGTAACCACTTATAACTTTACACTTTGTTCAGACATACCTAACACAACAAATCGTACTCCATTAAACAATCCAGACCCTTAAAATTAGGGAAAAGTCTATTTCAAATTTATAATAGTATGCATATTACAGTACATATTACATATCATATGCTTTAAATAAAGTTAAACCACATGTTTTAAAGTAAACAAAGCACATGACCTAGATTCCCATGTTATTTAAATGTGAATTATTTTATTCCGTAACGACAGTTTGGTGCATAATTAAGAAAAATGAATATTTTTCCCCAAAATTTCATGCTGAGACCTTTAAAATGAGACCTCTCCCAGCTTTCTACGTCCTCCCGTTCGCTCACAATTTCATTGTAAAATTTTGGGCTTACGGAATTAGATATATAGATGACACTTCAGTAACTGAACCTTGGCTATTCTCTACTGTCCTGTCATTGGCACACCTTGGTTTACACTATGTACTTATTTAGAGTGGGTGTTTGTTGTATAGGTGAGTGTTGAGCCCAGTGGACGCATAGTATGTATGACACTTCAGCAACTGAGCCTTGGCTATTCTCTACTGTCCTGTCATTGGCACACCTTGGTATACACTATGTATTTATTTAGAGTGGGTGTTTGTTGTATAGGTGAGTATTGAGCCCAGTGGACGCATAGTATGTATAACACTTCAGCTACTGAACCTTGGCTAATCTCTACTGTCCTGTCATTGGCACACCTTGGTATACACTTTGTACTTATTTAGAGTGGGTGTTTGTTGTATAGGTGAGTGTTGAGCCCAGTGGACGCATAGTATGTATGACACTTCAGGAACTGAACCTTGGCTACTCTCTACTGTCCTGTCATTGGCACACCTTGGTATACACTTTGTACTTATTTAGAGTGGGTGTTTGTTGTATAGGTGAGTGTTGAGCCCAGTGGACATATAGTATGTATGACACTTCAGGAACTGAACCTTGGCTACTCTCTACTGTCCTGTCATTGGCACACCTTGGTATACACTTTGTACTTATTTAGAGTGGGTGTTTGTTGTATAGGTGAGTGTTGAGCCCAGTGGACATATAGTATGTATGACACTTCAGGAACTGAACCTTGGCTATTCTCTACTGTCCTGTCATTGGCACACCTTGGTATACACTATGTATTTATTTAGAGTGGGTGTTTGTTGTATAGGTGAGTGTTGAGCCCAGTGGACATATAGTATAAATGACACTTCAGCAACTGAACCTTGGCTATTCTCTACTGTCCTGTCATTGGCCCACCTTGGTATACACTATGTATTTATTTAGAGTGGGTGTTTGTTGTATAGGTGAGTGTTGAGCCCAGTGGACATATAGTATGTATGACACTTCAGGAACTGAACCTTGGCTATTCTCTACTGTCCTGTCATTGGCACACCTTGGTATACACTTTGTACTTATTTAGAGTGGGTGTTTGTTGTATAGGTGAGTGTTGAGCCCAGTGGACGCATAGTATGTATGACACTTCAGCAACTGAACCTTGGCTATTCTCTACTGTCCTGTCATTGGCACACCTTGTTATACACTATGTATTTATTTAGAGTGGGTGTTTGTTGTATAGGTAAGTGTTGAGCCCAGTGGACATATAGTATGTATGACACTTCAGGAACTGAACCTTGGCTACCCTCTACTGTCCTGTCATTGGCACACCTTGGTTTACACTATGTACTTATTTAGAGTGGGTGTTTGTTGTATAGGTGAGTGTTGAGCCCAGTGTTCGCATAGTATGTATGACACTTCAGCTACTGAACCTTGGCTATTCTCTACTGTCCTGTCATTGGCACACCTTGTTATACACTATGTATTTATTTAGAGTGGGTGTTTGTTGTATAGGTAAGTGTTGAGCCCAGTGGACATATAGTATGTATGACACTTCAGGAACTGAACCTTGGCTACCCTCTACTGTCCTGTCATTGGCACACCTTGGTTTACACTATGTACTTATTTAGAGTGGGTGTTTGTTGTATAGGTGAGTGTTGAGCCCAGTGTTCGCATAGTATGTATGACACTTCAGCTACTGAACCTTGGCTACCCTCTACTGTCCTGTCATTGGCACACCTTGGTATACACTTTGTACTTATTTAGAGTGGGTGTTTGTTGTATAGGTGAGTGTTGAGCCCAGTGTTCGCATAGTATGTA